CATCAACCACCACCAGTCAGCAGCCATCAGCATCAAGGCAAGACCCTCCATCAGCAAAAATATTACGACTTGCCGAAAATTCAGATGTTGGTTAGCATTTCTTTAGCAATGAAGTATTCTTAATTAAGGTATGTACACTGTTTTCAGAAATAATGCTATTGCACATTTAATAGACTACAGTATAGGGTAAACATAACTTTTATACGCACTGGGAAACCAAAATATTCACGTGACTCGTTTTACAGTGGTGATCTGGAACCGAACATGCAATATCTCTGGGGTGTGCCTGTGTTTGTCAACGATCTGTCAGTGTTGAAACCTAACTAGTATTTGCCTGCCTCGTCTGTTCTACGTTTAACAGAAATAGGCTGTTTGATGTTGGGCTGTAAGCCTCAATCTAAGGAAATTAATCTGCAACCCAATGTTGAAATAAGTCCCACAGCCCTGAAATCCAAATAGATCAGCATCTCAGCTAAGTTTTCATCCCTGGGTTCCCACTTCAAAACTTGGCCCAAAGATTGACAGAGCTTTTTCGTGGCTTTCTTCAGTCTGTAAGAAAATCCCTGCAATTAGACTATGAATGCATTGTCTCACATCCACTCAAATTCATTATTCACTTCTCGTCTTATCATTGGACGCTACATATTCTGAGCAACCGAAAGCGTCATTGAATAAGCCAAGAAAAAATACAAACACTGTAAAATAAATATTGCCTCATTTGGCGTCGTAATTGAATATACTGAACTAAAAACTTGTTGAAATTTTCATGGCCAGCTGACGTTTGGCACACGAAATGAAAGGGGATTTCGTTCAGTCCTGCGTGTCACTTACTTCTTGGCTTATACACACTTGAAAGTGTAAGAAACATAGTTCTTTGGTTTGGAGAAAGAAATGTGATATTTCTGTTCTTGAATTGTTAGTTGTTGAAGTAGTCAGCTGTTCGCTTTCTGATCACCTCATTCCCAACTGCTGTCCCCATGCAATGGCGAAATTGCGTAGAATCCATTATCAAGTCCGGGCACGCTAGCTTCATTGAGGCGCCAGATGCTAACTATGACCGCAGAGAGACGGCGCTGCGGCCCACAAATGTGCTCCACCATCTCACTTTATCCTTAATGGTCAATTGTTTCAAGAACTCTCAACAAGAGAACGTGTTTCCTCCTTTGCCCTTTTCAGCGTACGCAACCTTCCGTCTGTAAAAAAGATATTCAAATCACCGTATCACTTTCACTCGGACATCATCACCTCAAAACCACAGTCCTGCTGCAAACCCGTGCCCTCGAAACCAGGAAGGAACTACAGGAATACTTGCAGATGTGAGACCGTGTTTACTGGTAGATGTTACCTAACACTCCGGAAAGACGTGCTGCCTACATCTTCACGGTACGAACGTTGGGTGTGGGAAGATGACACACATAGAAGGAAACAGACGTCAGAGGCAAGAGCTCCGGCCGCACCAGTGAGTATGGAGAGGAATGAAATTATTTTCGCAAAACTTCCGTCTTGTTCCTGTCGGTGTGCTGAGGAGGACCTCGTCCTCTATACGTACTGCTCCCTCCATTCCTGGACTACCCTTCTACCTCCAAGATGAAATGCCGATAAATATTTGCCAGACTAAACGGCACCAAATCCCAGAACACAGTTTTCTTCTTAGTTTCCGCCGTGAGAACCCCAATCTCAGAAAGAAAGAAGTTCTGTGAAGAACTATGGTTCTTCTTTCCTCAACTTTTAATGTAAACAAATATTGTGGGGGCTACCAATAATTATAAATCAACTAGTGATTGTCTGTCGGTCTGCATGGTCAATCCACAGAATTCTGCTAAATGGATTTCGCTGATGTTTAATCATGAAGTCTGCTCCAAAAATTGTCGGATTTACGTGACTCTTGTTTCAGTAGACCCTACCACATTACATGAAGCTCACACCGAGGTGGTTCGTCGCACAAGAAGATATGACTATCTAACTAACAAACAAAGAACTTCATGGAGCTGGGCCTTTCTTCCGAATTAGCTAATTGTGCAGTCACTCAAGAACTTGCCAACATTTTATGGAACTCGAAGACTCATTACCGTGTTCAAAAGAGCCCCAATGGTCCCTATCTTGAGCCAGATAAATCCAGTCCACACCACCACATCGTCTTTCTCTTAGATCCACTTAATATTACCCACCCACCTACGTCTTGTTCTTCCTAATGGTCTCCTTCCTTCTGGCTTTCCTACCAATATGCATTCCTCTTCTTCCCATGCGTGCTACATGCCCTGCACATACCATCCTCCTTGATTTAAACATTCTAATTATACTTGGGGAAGAGTACAAGTTATGAAACTCCTCATTATGCCGTTTTCTCCAACCTCCTGTCACTTCATTCCACTTCGGCCTAAATATTTCTTTCTCAACACCTTGATCTCAAACACCTTCAGTCTACGCTCTTCCCTAAATGTCAGAGACCAATTCTGACACCCATACATAACCACATGCAAAATTAATTTTCTATAGATTATAATTTTTAAACTTTTAGATAGCAGACAAGAAAACAAAAGGTTCTGGACTGAATGGTAGCAAGCATTACCCCAATTCAGTCGCCCCTTAATTTCCTCCAAAATCATATTTCAATTTCTTACTATCGTTACCAAATATTTGAACTGTGCTCCATTTTCGAAACATCTGTTATCCATCTTTATGTCATGATTTTACCTTGCACCCTGGTGACGAGACAGCAACATATACATAGTATTCTCTGCGTTACTTCTAGGTCAACCATCTTATTAGTGTCAATGAGCATTTCTGTGTTTTCCTTAATGGTATCTATGTTATCGCCCAGTAGATTGACATCAGCAGAGAACAGTAGCTGATGTGTCCCATTTAATTTCAGTTCCACCTGGTGTTCCTGGACCTTCCGAAGAATATAAGACATGACATAAAAGGAACTTCAAATTTCCACATTAACCAGTTTTCCATTATCCTACTATTTCAAGAAATAATCCATATTCAGCCGAAGCACGCCTTTCTGTTGCTATAAGGGTCTAACTTTGTTACGTCTGAGCTGCACCAAACAGCACCGGAGCTCAACAAGAAAACGTGTTTCTTTCTTTGCCCTTTTCAGCGTACGGTACTTACAGACTGTAAAAGGATATTCAGACCATGGTATCACATTCACTGGGATATCATCACCTCAGAACTCCAGTCATGTTGCAAACCCGTGCCCTCGAAACCAGAAGGGAGGGACTGGTCACAATACAGGAAGAATCGCTTAAGTTGTGTGGACTACACAAGCCGAGCCCCTTCTCAGTTCTTAGAGTTCTGCGATTAAATTAGTCTGTTATCGAATAAGTATCCGCTACAAAACACTTTGTTGGTTCGTTTGTTGTTTGGAGATTTAGCGCGCCACTGGCAACCACATCAATCTCTGTCTGCAGACGATAGAAATATTGAATTCTGAGGACATGGTGAAGGCATGATGGATGGTGCGAGGTATTGACACTGGGGCACTTACTAGTTGTCTGAACTCGTAGAGAAGCAGGCCTCTCGTACTTACTGTCGAGCAGCTAGCTTAAAGTACAGGTAAGATGTACGTAAGTATGAGAATGAATATGAACAAGATTGCGCTTTAAAAATCCTCGCTTGGTCGTTATAGTTTCAGAAAATATGGACATGTAAGCAATGTCCGTCTTTTAGTGCACTCAATTTTACTTGTTACTTCACAACATGTTTCGGCACTACAGTGCCATCATCAGGTGCTCTATTTACGTCAATCTATTTCATTGCCTGCCATTATATCACTGTAAAATTGAAAAAGTATTTAAAAATGTTCGTCAATTATAATAAATATATATACTAAAAACTTGTTAAGATTATTTATCTTATCTGTCCCAATACAACACCCGCAACCAAACAGGGAACACGCAACACGAGACACGATTTATCCTGAGAATAAGAGGAACGACTCCCATAGTGGTGAAACTATGCGTGGTGTTAGAATTGCGACAAATAAGATAAATAATCTTAACAAGTTTTTAGTATATATATTTATTATAATTGACGAACATTTTTAAATACTTTTTCAATTTTACAGTGATATAATGGCAGGCAATGAAATAGATTGACGTAAATAGAGCACCTGATGATGGCATTGTAGTCCCGAAACATGTTGTGAAATAACAAGTAAAATTGAATGCACTAAAAGACGGACACTGCTTACATGTCATGGAAGAAGACCAGTGCAACAGGACACTAAAATACAACATTAAAAATATTGACATCACTGATGAAAATGTACAGGGAAAAAGTTCAAATGTCAAAGAGATATGGGCTTAATGTTAGAGAGTATTTCGAGAAGATACATAATTTTTATGAGCACAATAAGGAAATGTAAAAGAATTATAAAGCGACATCGTAATTGCATTTACCTTTAATGACGAATACTGAGTGATCTGAAATTCTGAGAAATGTACGGAAATGTGTAGTAGAAATCGATTAACAACAGAAGCTTCTAGTTGCTCAGAACCCTTTAATATACTACACCAAACACATGTTCTTTTAGTATTCACGGAAACGGGAAAGATTCCGAGAAACATTTATACATGGAATGGATCGGCGAGATTGCACAGTAACGTTTTCAACACAATGAAGAAACATCGGGTTCCGAAAAAGACAGAGGATTGTAATTGGCTGAGCGGCTGTTCGGTTCTGAAGGAGGATTAAGCTACACGGAGTGTTTTAACACTCTGACTATTTCATTCTATGTTAGAATACACAGAACAATTGTGTAGTTCACTAAGTTTGCAGGCGCTACCGATGTGAAAGAAGACCGGTTGGTATAGCGACACAAGCATGCTTCACTGACCGAACAGGATTGCGCTTATGGAAATGAAACCTTAAAATGTAAACAGGAAGATGCTAAAATTACGAGAATTAAGACCTGCTAGGTTAATAGGTATCCTCTTAGATTACATGAAAACAGAATATTACAATTACACTGCTTTACTTGTTTCCTTTTTCAGGTTGATGTTGAATCTTAATAATATGCAAAATATTCATCTCCTTGACTGACGTCACCCTGAGGAAGTGTTTGCAAGAAGCTCCAAGAGCACAGGGACCTCGCTTCAGCTCCAGTTCAGTATCAGAAGGTAAGAAGACGCAAATGACAACGTCGAATCTCAATGTGATTTCTTTTAACAAAATGATGGATACAAAATATGAAGTTTCTTATGAAAGAAAATTAAAGCCGTCTAATGTGATTCATAAATGTTGTGGTTTTTAAACTTTAATCCTTTATATTTTCGGTCGGAGCGACCATCTTCAGAAGGATATTATCAATACAAACGGAAACTACTATTACAATGTCATTTATATAAAATATGATATCCTTTAACAATTACTAATATGTGCATGAATTTGTTAAAACATTTGTAAATTATTATAATTAGTCTATTTACAAAGGAATATTTAAAAATTATTTGTTAAAATATAGAACCAATTTGGTACGTGTCTTTATACTTCTCTTTAGGGGAAGATGAGTGTGTACCACGTAAGGTTCTCTTGTTTGAAGAACAAGACTCATTAGTGTGTCCAGCTGTTCAGGCCACTTTATGTTGTCATGTAATACAAGAAGTATAAAGATACATCCAAAATGGTTCTAGATTTTAATATAGGTTTCTTAAACATTCCTTTGTAAATAGACTAATTATAATAATCTACAAATGTTTTAACAAATTCGTTCACATCTTAGTAATTATTAAAGGGTGTAATATTTTGTACCTATGATTTCGTATAAACTCTCATTCTTAGTCACGGGATTGAAAAATATCTTCCATACCTACTTCGGCATTGAAATCGATTATTAAATTTTCGAACGTTATTTGGGGAATTTGTGAAACATACATACATTCTAGTCTTTATTCATGTCGTCAATTTTATCTCCTGTTGGAGCATGAACATTCAGAACATTGATATTACACCAGCGGCCTCTTAGTCTTATGTACGGCATCCTATCACTAACATACTCTACCCTCTTAACCCTCTTAACTGCTGATTATATGCCCTTATGTACAAAGAAACCTGTAGCTCATGCATGGTTCTCATTCTGGTTTTCATGCAAAAATGTATATTCGCCTGCTGGATCGGTGCCACCTCGGTCCCATCTGATTTCCCGTACTCCCGCTAAATCTAACCTACATTTCGATATTAATCTTGAAATTGTTGCGAAAACATCTGCCATATAGCATACTTACATTCCATGTACCAAATCTGATATCCATTTTCCTTAGCTCAGGTTTTTATCGGATGAGTCCGCCCAAGTCTGAGGCCTATTTAACATTTCGTAACGGAATATTTGTTTACGGTTAGGAGTTGTGTAGCCATATACCGAGGTCCCAGGCCCTATTCATAGTTACCCTCCATATCTGGAGGCCGTCTGCTCCATCCGCAACCTGAGGATGCTCCATGCCGTGGTTACAGAGGCATAAACAAAAGCCTATATCTCTACTTCTATATGAAATTACTTCATAATAATGTGCGACAGTTGTTAGCTCTGGTTACCATAGCAACAGACTCTCGAGTGAACAGAACTTCTGCTTCGGATTATTTCCTTCTTTGTCAAAGTTCGGTTCCTTTTCTTTTTATTTTAGTCAGTTCAATTTTCTTGTTTCTCTGCCTCGTTCCCTCCAGGCGAAGGATGTAATAGCACCTGAAATTAGGTCACGATCGCTTCCTTCCAAATTCCCTCCTGTTCCTGCCTAACTAATCAACATCTCAGCAGACAACTTTCTGTTTCTTTCTTTTCCCCCTTGGCACTACAGCCCCAGTGGACTTAGACCTACCTACAAGAACTTCTCCGTTCATTTCGGTTTTTCTAGATCTTACACATTCGGTAGGAGTCCTTGGGCGGGTGATCAGCTCGTCGCAAGGCCTCTACCTGTACACAAACACAGAAATACGCACAAAAACATCCATGCCCTGAGTGGGATTCGAACCCACATTCCCGGTTTCCAAGCGAGCGAATACAGTGCATGCCTTAGACCGCTCGGCTACCGTGACCGGCAGACAACCTTCTTACATACACAAAAATATATCTAAATATAAGAATATAATCATCCCCATATTCATCACATTCAGTTCTCTTCATATCGCAACTTGAAGAATGTAATGTGGTGAGCGTTAAACCAATGAAAATTAGGATCACTGAATATATATCTAAAATTTCTAAAGTGCTTTTATTTTGGAAGAACGGAAACTTGCGCCAAACTCTGATTGAATGAAAAGAATTGTAAGACCATCCGACTTTTCTATACAAGTAGATTTTAAAGGCTTCTGACGATGGTGTGTTACACTCGTAATTAGTGAGTATTTGGATTTTGTCCATCGTCCGGTAGGCCAAGAACGACGAGATCTGTGTAAAGAAATAAGCAGCCCGAGAAGTGATCTCCAGCTCAACGGATATCCCCAAGTTTCACTGACTCGGTCATTATCCCAAGAGTAGCAGTCTTCTGAATAAAGAGCAGACGCCTCGGGGCTCTCTATATATCCCATATGTGAAGGGTGTTTCATAGAAGTTCCAACGTATAGGGAATCGATACATCAGGACGTTCTTCAAAACTTTACACACTCTTTAAGGGTTCACTCGTGGAAACCAGGCCGGAAAGAGATCAGCTATAGACGACACAGTTCATCTACATACAGTATTCCCTCTGAATGTGGCTGAAGCTACATTGGCGAAACAGGAAGACATCTAGCCATGCGACTCTGTGAGCATAGACACAGTCTCAGAGAAGGTCTTCTAGGAAAAGAAATAGCCCAACATGCCTATGAAGAGGGTCATGGAATAGGCTTGGACGAAGGTGGGATTTTAGAAACTGAAAACAACTGAAAGGTATAGGAAATAAATATGACATATCCAACCACTCCCATCAGCCAACCCAGTTTGGACATTTCTCCTATTCGGATTCCCCCCATCAGCAATGAGGTTAGCAACTCACAGAGTTGATCAGTATGATGTAAGAGACTCTTCACGGAATTTAGCCCCGAGTGTCCAATTTTTATGTCACAGATGATGCTAACACTAGGAAAAAAATGGCTTCACAATGTTCTCCAGTTAATCCTTTGCAGTTATTTGCATGGACCTGACTCGGTGTCTAGGTTAGCAGCATAAACATTTCCACCTCCTTTTCTAACTTGGTTTTAGGTCTTGTTTGCTTTATTAAAATTTGTATTGTACGTTAACCTGTTCTCTCATATTCTAGAAGGCCTGGTCTCAGGTGTTAATACAGCTGTAGTTATACTGACATAGGTTGAGAGAGTTGAGTTAGTTACTTGAAGGTATTCCCGCGTTGAGGCGGGTTCGAGTACTTCCACCGTACCCCAGCGAGCGGTGGGAGGCAACGAAAAGGGACTCAGTGTTTGGGGGTACAACTGGTTCACCTTCTTCCTGGGGGATATAAATATGGGGACCTGGCCTTCCAGGTTTGGGAAGTCTCGAATCTGAGACACTAAACTATTGCCATCAGACCTGCAGGACTGAGACCCGAGAATTGCTGACTTGGCGAGGACCAGCAGCAATGTAAACGACACGCCTGTCCTTTCGTCAGACTGGGCTCCCCAAATCAACATAACCGAAACTGTCTGACATTAATAAAAATCTTATCTTGGGCCCCAGATGGGGTCCTGACACCAAGACAGACTGGCCGATTGACCGTCTGATTTTATCACAGGTTGTCCACTGATTGAGGTTAGTTCTTTCTGGGAGACACGACAAGGTGTCCCTCCCACCTGATGACGGAAAGAGATTCAGCTCCAGAAACGTTGTCTTCTCTAGTCTTTTAGAACACCGGACGAAAAAATAAAAAAAAAACGCAGTTATTCCGACTGTGTTTAGAGTTCAGCAGAGTCGCGTCCCTTTGCCTCAGACACGAAACGGGCCCTAGTCCCTCAGTCTGCAGCATGCACATTACTGACTGTACTGTACTGGTTCGTCCTTTGCTAATTGAGGCCGAAATTCCATTCCCTGAGTTCGGCGGGCTGGAATCCTCAGAGGGGAGTGTCAGTTCAGTGTAAGGCCTCTACAGCATACGAGTACATATCGGCACTCCGAGAAGCATTCGATCCCGCGGTCTCCGTGTAGAACTGGACCGAGCACTTCAAACTACACGACTCGGCAGTTATATTCTGAGCTTTAGAAATTAAGTTAATTAAGATCGTTCATGTCAAGGAAGTAGTATTGGACTACCCTTTGTTGATATATGCGAAGAGAATCTAAACACGACTTCACATCAAAGAGAATTTAACACCAATAGAACTACAAGAGCGGGCCTCTCATTGGGAACAGATTTCACTGACATAATAATTAGCCTGATGTATGCAAAGCTACAGAATTCCAGAACATGTGTTCAAGTTGGTCTTCTGTTGCCCCAAGCACTTACCCAGTGCTTTGATTTCTCTTCTGTGAGCAAATTACTGCAGGCTGCCAACACTGTGATATAATAAAATCCTGTATTCTTTAAAAGCAATGATTTCCAAACTTTTCTTATTTACAGATGCATAAAACAGCTGTGGGTTTTCGACGGTTCGGAACTCTATCTCATACAAAATCTGGAAACGTAATTATTACTGCAGTAGCGTCAATGAAAGAATGGACACAGGCAGCAAGAGTAAAAGTCGACCCCTCCCCAGCTCCCTACATAGCAGTGGTCTGAGCACAGTAACAATTAGTTGGAGTGGGAAGCAGCTCCTTAGCAGAGAGGGGGGGGAATCTGTGTCGATTCTTTCGTTGACTGCTCTAAAGCAGGTTTAAGAATAGAGTAAAATGATTAATGCCTTATATACCGTTAAAATGTGAGATTTCATAACTTGGAAATAGCATAACAGATACACGAATTTTATCTCCTTCTTAGCCTACATTATATTCGGCTTCTTTTCACTCCACATTTCTCTCCTTCTGATTCCTCCTTTCATGTTCATTTTCTACTTCTCTTCTTCTTCTTCTTCCATCATCTCTCAATTTTGTTCCTATTTTACCTTCTTTCCTCTTCTTTTTTTCTTCAAGTTCTATTTTCTTCATTCTCTCGTCTTTTCTGTCCCTCCTACATCTTCTTCTTCTTCTTCTTCCTCTTTTTCTCCTCATTTTCTTCCGCCA